TATCCTTCGATAATTAAGTTTCCTTAGTCGCCTCTTACGGCACCCACGGGAAAAATGGGTGGCCTATTTTATGCCGGTACCACATTGCAAACTAACTTGCTTGGTCCAAATCTCGGTATATTGGAAATTTAATATACTTATATATGTATGATTATTCGATAATATTGTTCGATTGTTCCGACAGAGAGATTGTTTTTCCAAACTTTGTACTTATTTGCATATGTAATTAATACAATACGGCTGTGGCTTATGATCTTCATGTCACAAAAGTGAACAATGTGCGTATGATATCTTTGATGTTGGAAGCATGTATAACAAGCTGTAATCATTTATTTTATCAAGCCCACTTTATAATTATCTCTTGATTGCCACAGTTGTTGCATAAAAGCAAATTATTTAGTAAATTGTCCTTAATAAAATACAAATATTTATAAAATCAAATTACTACTACATGAAGTTTATCTTAAACTTTAAGTAGTTTGTATAGACTTAAGTTTGTCTAGTTCTTTTTGTTTGAAAATTGTTACAATATTGTACACCGCTCTATCCGCTGATATTGATGCTCCTTTCCACTTGCTTGCACTTTGCTGGAGGAGAACTCTTTTAGAGTTAAGCTCGCCTTTGTACATTTACTTACCTCTGTCATATTTTTATATATTATAAATGTACAATAAACTATTAATAAATAAAAAAAAAATTACAAATAATCATTTTATAAAGATTCTGTTGTGCCGTGTTCACGAATAAAGGCTTTTATCTAGTCCAAAATTTGTGGAGTAACCACGAAGTTAATATCTGAGTAAATTTGAGATAAACAACTAACCGTCTGACCCAGACTGATACTTTTTTTTTTTAAATATAATGCAGTTCATATTACTCGTTAATAACATAGTTTTCTAAATGTGAAAGGCTTTTTAAAATCAGTTGAATATTTTTTGAGTTTATCGATTATAAACAAACAAATAAAATAATTTGTTATTACAATAATAGTTTAATTTATTGTTTCAGTAATTATTTATTAAGGACGAATTACAAGAAACATAATAGTTATCGAGTGTTGCTATATCCAGTAACATTTTATTGAAACGAATATAGCTACACCACAGTGGGATTTATAAAGCGGAAACACGCGCTTTATTGTTTTACGCTGTAAAAGTTGAATGGCAGTGACATTAATGAAACAATAGGTAAACAATACAGCATATTTATCAACAGGGCTGCCAACATAGGGATATTATGCATGGAATAGACATTTTTTATTATTTGTCATTTTAAGCGGATTAAAAAATATTAAAAATGAGAGACTGGCTGTAACTGTGTGTGGAGTAAGGCATGTTTATTTTACAAGTACCTACTTGTAATATAAATATAGGACATGTCCTTCTATATAATATACTTACATTATATACTAGTTCACTATGTAGTCCCAGTATAGAATGAGCCACCCCTTCCTTTCCAATGGTTGTTGTAAGAGGCGACTAAGGGAACTAAATAATGATCGAGGGATGGGCAGCAGCGTTCTTCCTATACCATCACAAAAGCCTAACGGTAGTAGCCAATTCGCCTGTCAAGCATGGCAACTACTGGCAAAACCCCTATTCCTTACGAGGAAGGCTTATGTTGATGATATACAAGTTATACAACGTAATATAGTTAAGACTTAACGTTAATCATGGAACGTGGAAAGAAAGTTAGTTTTGTCAATTGTTGACAATTTTTTACCTATTTTTTTTTAATGTACCTACTTAACTAGAATGGTGTCAGTTACTGTTTTTAAATGAGAAGTACTCCCACTTCATCTATTGGATACCTATTAGGCGATGGAAAATAAGTTCAAACCAAATACAACTTTTAAAGTATTTGTTAACAATGCTAAAGTTTATAATTATATATTTCTATTAATTTGCAATTTGTGTACCTAAATATAAATAGGTGATCCACTTTTATCTATTTGATTTTAATGGCATTTATTTTTGTTGATCCTCATATTATTGTTTTGATAAGTAATGTCTAATCGTTATAAAACAGTATATCCCAATTTGAAAATTAGGTATATTTATTTATTAAACACAAGAAACATACAACATGAGTACATTAGACCTGGCACTGGAAAACCTGTATCTTGGGAGTCCATAAGGGATTACAAAGACACGGTGATTTCAGTGAGCCAATTTTATGAGAACAAACATTATAAAATGACATTGTTAACTAATATAAAAGTGCATCGTGAAGACACATGCATAAATAGGTAGATGTTTATTATAAATTTGGCGTATTACTAAAGTATTACAATAATTTTAAAAAGTAACACTAATCAGTACACAGGTTTATGTAAAAAAAAAAAATTGCACCTATTCAAACAGTTAATCGTAAAGATACTCTATAAACAACAATTATATATTTGAACATGACATTTGGTAATTAGAAAATACTTTAAACATACAAACCGTCCCTGAACAAATCTCTTTATACACTAATGTTCTAAGTTCTCCATTATTATCACCAACTACAAATTTATAATCATAATTATTGTAGACATAATTACCTTACTTTTTAGAATTTAGAATTTTATGAAAGAACTTGTTCTCTCTATTCCTCTACATAGTTCTGCTTTTGTTTCCAATTCCTTCACTCTTGAGGCCTCACGACTCTGGAATGCGCTACCCATGGACATAAGACAAATTTCTGACAAATTTATTTTTAAGAGAAAAGTCTACCAATATCTTTGGAAAAAACTGTGAAAGCAGTTCATCATCTTCATCATCATCACTTTTGATCTCTATCGTTGTTTATTTGTGTTATCGTATATATACTATAAGTATGTAGGTATATTTATATATGTATATTTATATTTGTATGTATATATTTTTATTAAATATTTGTGCCAATATCGAATAACAGATCTAGAATGTGAAGAGAAGTCATAAAAAATCCGAAAATCTAGCCAAATGGTCTATTTGCGAATCGTATATATAATAGTAGTACGCATTATTAGCATCTGGACTGGACATCTGGTAGTAGAAATACAATATACAGTTGGCATAAAACATTTAGTTACGCATACGAAAGGTCATTGTCTTGTAGTTTCAATATGATTCCTTCCGTATTCAGTATGGAGATAATAATCATAGCAGTCAATCGCAACAAAATTAAAGTTCTATAGACTAACACAGGAATTTGAATCCGCTGTATGTTTTATCATAAGGGAGGGGTTTACTTGCCAGTAGTTGCCACGCTTGGTAGGCGGGTTAGCAACCGCAGTTTTTCAGACTTTTGGTGATGTTTTAAGAGGGACACTGCTGCTCATCCCTCCACCATAGGCTCCCTCAGTCCCTTTTTCAATATGAATGCAAAGGTAAAGAATTATCAAAATCGCTTATAAGAAGTGGCCAAGATATTGTGTAACAATCTATATATAAAATATATCTTCCTGTATGAATATATGAACCTTCTCACTTCTAACAAATATAACGTTGTACATATATATATCGTATATAAAGTATCGAATCGAATCGAATAAAAATAAACATAAGTATTAAAAAGAATACTCTTTATTCTTCTGTAATTTGATATTATAGTACTTATACTGTAACATTAAATTACAGAACTACGTTAACGCTGTACTATTGAGTTTGTTAAACTAGGTGTAAGAGCGTACCTAGTTCAATTTACTTTCTTTTTAATGTTTTAGTTTAGTTTAATTGTAAAGGTATGTGTTACTCTGACTCATTGTCTGATGGTTGCGTGTTTAATTCTTGCATAATACAAATATCTTTACTCATATATTGGTTTATGTGTTTTGTATGATTCTATAATAAAAACGATTAGCATACTTAAAAAAAAACAGATATTTTTTCTATGAATGTTACAAGTAAATGTAACGTTTTTAAATCCATATTGTATTAACGTCTGTTACTAACTGTATTTTATGAAAATAACGTTACAACGTTAATAGTGTAATTTTAATAACGTTAACAAGCATTATCATAAAATCGTATTTACCCGTGTATCTGATATACTTCTCTATTTATAGTGCAATATATGGTCGTAAGCATCGGTATAATATATCTAGAAATATTAACATATATATTATATAAAGTAATTGACCTGAGTGTATATAATTGTACACTGAGTAATTTACACACATCTACAAGTATGTCACGAATAGTATTCTTTTATAAAAAAAATTGTAGAAAAGCGAAGTGATGCGTTAAATGTCAAGTCTTAAATTTCTTTATTATAGATCATAGGTTAATAAAAAAATAAAATAAATATAATATAACGATATATCTTACTATTGTTAACAAATATTCTACCTTATTGACAATTGTAATACAATTTATTTATAATCATTATATTTTATCAAGAATACCTGTGTATTATTGAAAAATATATAATTTTATTTCTTTGTATTTGTATATATTTGTATATAACGACACATTAAGAGGCGGCCAAATTTTTTTTTGGGCAAAAATATGTTAAGATACGAAGTAAAAAAAATGATAATAATAGAACATTAAAAATTTAGTTTTTTTTAATAACATAAGATATTTATAACGACACATTATTTCTTATAAATATATTAAAAAATGATTAGAGAACATTAGTAATAATATAAGATTTTTATAACGGCTTCCATTTTTGTAGCATTTAAGAAGATTTACCAAATATGTACATACCCAGTGACCATTATTATAATAAGATTCCAAAATATTATTATACTTGTGACAAAATTAAATTAAACAGTTTCAAATTTATTTATGTCAATAATTAAGAAACAATAGTATGAATAATTGAAAATCTATACTTTTACTTATTATAAGGGTATACCTATATTATAAACGTTTGTTATACTGCTATGTACTAATTTTTAACGTAATATATTAATTCCGAAATAACATGTAACTGCTTCAAAAAAAAAATTACGAAAAAAACAAAAAGTAAAAAAAAAAAACTAACGTTAAAATAAACATAGCAGTTAACGTAAACCGATGTTATAGGTGCACCTCACTAGAGGCACGGATGCGGCGGAGTGGCGGGGCGCCATTGCGCGCCTTCACGATCCTCGATAAGGCAAGGAGTACAGCGGAGTTGCGAGGCGGGTAGGCGATGGGCCGCGCTAGGTGAGCGGTGCGCGCCGGCGGTGTATGTACGCGGCGGCGGGCGGCGCGTCGCTCGCGGGCCGTAAGGTAAAAACGTTCATAGTATCTCCTTAATAAAATGTGTAAAAACATAATATACATAGGCCGTAAAACGTTTTATAAAATAAAAACTAATTACAAAAGAAAAGGTCTCAGTTCTAATGCTTTCATTTTTTGTTAGGTTTTATGTATATCACTAATAATAATTTTTTTAATGGTGGGTCGATTTATTAATGATTATTTTTTCATAATCGAAAATACTTAATTACTGTATCGATTTTATACTAATGTTTACATGTACATGTATAGATAGATATTAGAGTATAAAATATTGTAAATATAATAGCATCAGTGTATCCGTGTGCTCGGACTTCACGACTAAACTGCTTAACCGATTTTTATGAAATTTTGATTGAATTCAATCACAGGTAAAATTTGGTTCTTTATATAGCAAGATGGTTCAGGTCGCTTAGGTGACTCTGGAGGGTTCTTTATGGTAGTCCATGGGGAGACCAATGTTTAGCAGTGGATAGATAACGGCTGATATGATAATGATAATGATGGCGATAACAAGATGGTAAAATTATAAAGAAAAATATTGTATTCTTCTATGGATCTAATTTACATATTTCTTCTTCTTCTTTTCTGTATGCATGTATTATGGGTTTGAAACTTTTAAATACTGTTTGTTGGTTTATTGCAGGCGCGCCAGCACGGCCGGCAGCCCGCGCCGCCAAGCCCGCACCCGCACAGCCCTCCGCACCCTGCGCCCACCGGCGTCCGCGCCTACTCCTGCCAGCACTGGGAGTCTCGCCTCCTCGCGCCGCCGCGACCACTCTCCGCACTCGTCTCCGAGCCACACTCACCATGCGATACCGTCGAGGTATACTGCCTGTGATGTGTGTCTAAGTGTCTGTATGTATTTTAGATTAAGCATGTGTTTTCATAGTGTATAAGGAGTTTCTGTGTTGTAACCTGTTTAAAGGATAGAATTAATTATTAGATAAGCAAATGTTTGATGTTTAGAATAGTTAATGTTAAAGCATGATATTATAATTATGAGACAATGCAACTAACATTTCGTTTGTACGCCACCTTTTACTTAAACCCTTGATTATCCGAAATTCTCTTTTATTCAAATGAAAATTAAGCGCGTGTGAATTAAACGAACGTGAGCAATAACATGTGTTACGAGATAGTGTTATTATGTGAAGTGATAAAACTGGGCCGGCCATGAAACAGCGACACCTCGAGCGGAGCAGCGTCCGATGGCAGGTGTCGAAGAATCAGAGACTTCGCCTTGATGTACGGAATGAAACATGAGTGATAACGTTAAAAGCAGTGGACACAGTACGAACGTTGTTTCAAAACAAACATAATATATACTAATCTACATTAAACGCCAAATTGCGCTTGCTTCCATTATTCGTTATTTTCTCACAAAACATATCTTAAATTAAGATAACGACCACTAAGTAATTAAATCGTTCAATTAGCTATAAATTAAATATAGTTTTGCGCCTTTCTTGTGCCTACCTTTATCCAATTCTAAATAATTGTAAAGTGAGATCAATTGAAAGTAATTAACACTGTGATGGGACTATTATAAGAGTGATATTGACGTTCGATGTATATAGCTAATAAAAATAATCTTTTCAAATTTATCAAAAAATAAAATTATAAGCTAAATCCAAAATATAGTAGTTCTAGTCGCGCTAGTCATAGTGTTAGTGAATTTGCTCGAATCCGTATTATTAAAATTGATAATAAAGCTAGTTAATAACGATAAGTGCATTAACGTTAACGTGGTCGAACTGTTGTTACGTCACTAGCGTATAGTGCGTGCATTGTGAATTGGCCCGCGTGACGCTCTTAGCCGACGGCTGAGTTTTCTGCCATCGCTAACTTACGGCCACAAAACTGGCAAGTATGCAGGCAGCTCTTATGCTAAGAGCTAAATCGCGGGAGAGAAGAAAACAGCGTCTTAAGAGAGGGATCAAGCACGAATTGCCAAGCAATGTCGCCACGAAGACGATCGCACCGTTCCCGAGATATCCTCCTGCTTCATGGGTATGTTGTAGATATAAGAAAATAGAGTGTTTATTAACATCAAGCTACGTTACATTGTTAGGCATATATCTTCTTTATAGTTGAAAATACTTTAGTATTATGTCATTAAAGAATAGTGGTAATATAAAAAAATAAATTACATACCATTTCACAATGACACGACATTGGGTAAATTCTGCATGATTAATATTAATCAATATTTTGGCTGAAAAACATAATATAGCGTATTTTTTGTCAAAGTTGGAACTACGTTATGAAGTAAATATATATATATATATATATATATATATATATATACTCGTATATGCTTAAATCTTTAAAACTATGTAACGGAGTTTATAACGCACGGATGAAGTGATTTAAGAGTAAGGTTTATATGTATAATGCATGCATAATATTGTAGAGAAACACTGATAAATTTAGAGATTTCTAATGTGACGTGATGTAATGTGTACCCCGCGCGAAGCCGGGTTGGGTCGCTAGTTATGAATAAATTCATGTCGATAATTTTCTCGAAATTACTTGAAAGTGATTAATATATAATTAATCAAAAGATTTGACAACAATTACAAGAAACAATCACAGTAAAAAAACAACGGGCGACCTTTCGCTAAAAGCGATCTCTTCCAGTCAACCTTTGGATGTAGAGGAGTAATTATAAACAGTTTGATCATTTGTTTGATAGAGTCCAATTTATATTATATTACATTATACCAGGTTTGAAAATACATATGTATATGTAATTTTTTTTATTTGTATAATAGTGACGCTTCTATCTATCGTCTATTCTTGGACCGTTTACGTTATGCGCAAAGTCTAAAATGGAGTTCGTAATATTCTTTCTGACGAAAACCTCTGACGTGGCATTACATGACCTTGAAGTCTCCGATGCACGAACTACGAAGAAAATCATTTCCAACTGACTGTATATAATATTTTATGTGTATGCTACGCAATATTTCCGCCAATACATAGTAAACTGAAGGTTTATAAATAAAAGACCTTTTGTACGTCAATCGTAATACAATTCATTTCGTATCCGCCAAGTTGAACAGGTGGAGGGGAAAAGATTATCAGTAATGGGAACTAGTGGCCCTATTTCTAGCAATATTCCTTGTTAGGGCAAGTTCTGCCTGGAAAAACAGGGTTAATTCTTGTCAATATGTCACGATGGGTCAATGAACCTGATTTTATTGTTAGTGCCTCGCCAGCATAAGGTAGCGCAAATAGGATTATCGTTTCATGGTCCGTCCCTTCAAAAAAGATATCATGCTGAGTGTGTAATATTAAAAACTAGAAGAATTTCATTGATCATTTATCAATCAATCATCATCAGTCAATCAATCAATAATAAAATCAAAACTGGTCGCTGTCTATATATGGAAGATATATAAGAAATCTATTATAGAGGGGTTTTAAGAACGTAAAAAACACAAAACAATGATTTTTAGAATTTCTGTCTATTTGTCTGTACGTTTGAGCACACTAATCTCAGAAACGGCTTAACCGAATTAAATGCGGTTCTCACTATTGTGTTGCAGTTTACTCCGCTTAATATTTAGTGTTTGTTTTACTTCAATAGGTTCATAAATAAAAAAGTTATATCAATCTAAAAAATTACATATAAAATGCTATAAAATAACCGATCAGTTGAATTGGCTGAAACTTTACGAAGACATTTGGTACGTAATTATAATTTAAGTATATAATACAATAAGGAGTAAGCAATTAAGTCGTAGCGCTAATGCAAGTTAAGCAACCTCGCCATAGTTTCAACTGGGATGGGTGATCACAATATTGGATCACACACTCTATAGGATGATGGCTACTTTTTACCGCGGTTAGTAAATATGTCCCGGCTAAGTAGTCAAAGTCGCGGGCAAGCAAATAGCAAGTCTTAAATAAATAGTGTTATAACGAGTTTTGATTGCATGAAAAGCGGGTTTTTAACCTCCCTAAATGTCAATGAGGCATTTTTAATTATCTAACCCATATTTAACGAGTTTACATTATTTTAAAATCCGTATTAGGACCCCATATTGTTGTGATAGAGTATTATTGTGATAAAGTAAGTAGACTTGGTCTTAACAGGAATGGCTTTTGTTGTAGAAGTAAAATGGTTTTGTTTTGCATGCCAGTAACGGGTTTGTATCTATTATTTTTTAAAACCTCTCTATGGGTTGTCGATTTTTTTTCATTTAATGGTTATATAATCGAAGCTTCTAGATTTACCAGTATTTATGAGTATCGATACTATATCCGAAAAAATCAATTGATATATTTGTAGTCATTAGTAGATATTGATTGAAGATTCACTATTTAAAACAAGAAAAATTTTTTCACCTTCGTCGAATATAGAATCTTCCGATCTTTTGGATATTTTTAATAATAACCTTAATACTGTTTTTGGATCACATAAAAATTTTTTTGTTAAATTTATTTATAATATGGTTAAAAATGACCCATCTTTTTGCGACTTCAAAACGGTAGGTGTTCCTTTTGCTTATATTGTTTGTGTATATATCTACTATTATAAATCGATATTAAAAGTAAAAAAAAAATCTTATTACCTTATCTTTGCCTTTTTAAACAGATTATTATAACTCTTTTTTTAAATTGAGAGGATTTTTACGGCTTCATCCCATATTAAATGAAATTAAATGAGAAATGAGATTTATTCTTAAAAAACATAACTGTAGTTTCTTAACTAATATTAATATTATAGTTTTATAAGGGTACAGTAATTATGGTTTTAGAACTGGGCTCCTAAATAGGTTAATGTAATAACTTGTATTAAGGGAGCCAATTATGTACTGATTAAGGAAGTTGTTTGCAAAACACAATCTTCTTTGAATAAAATAATGTACACGTGTATTTACGTTTGTGTAGGACTTTAATCATCATCATCATCACCATCATATCAGCCATTAACTATCCGCTACTGAACTTAGGCCTCTTCCATAAGGGGGGTTTTGTCAGTATGGTGCTTGGTAGGCGAATTGGTAATTACAGTTAGGCTTGGTGATGTTTTAAAAAGGACGCTTTTTTATACAACTTAGAATGGCAAACAAGCTGACGGTCCACCTGATGGAAAGTGGTAACCGTCGCCTATAGACATGAGCAGTACCATAGACATAACATATACTGTTTCGCCCATGATACCCTCCATGCGTTGCCGTTCCTGAGGATCAGGTGTTATTCCTCTGTACCCAGCAAATTCACGCCATATCCCATTCTTCAAACCGAAACACAGCCGTGCAAACACAACTGCTTCACGTTAGAAACACGAATGGGACAGAGGTGCCCAAGCAATCGACTTTTGTACAAAGTCTCCCTCTGGTAAACTTCTGCTCATGCTTCAACCATTGTGTTCCCTTAGTCGCCTATTACGACACCTACGGGAAAGAAAGGGTTGGTCCATTCTATGCCGGGACCACACGGTAAGGGTATGAATATTCAGCATAAAATGATTATAGATTGGCTTCAATAACTCCATTTCTGGAAAAAATAATAAGTACTATTTATAGAACAATCAGTGCCGTCCTATATATTCCAAGTATAGGCACCATAGCTGTCAGTGTCACGCCCAAAAACAAATGTTTGAAGACCAAATTACTAGGTCACAGACAATAGTAACAGATAACAATGTACACGAATACAATATTTTTAAAAACAATTTACCGAGAAATATTGCGTCTAGCATTTCTTAAATTATCCCTCGGGCGCTGTCCGCTCCATTCATCCAGTTCCCTATTGTTTCTGACTTCGTTATTTCGTAACCACTTCCAATATTTTAACACACGTATTACAAAC